TGAAAAAAGTATACATGTATAGATTTCAAACAATCAGATGAACTGTGAAAAGTAACTAACATTCAAAACATGAATTGCAGTTTGGTGTTTCCAGCATTATTGAGAGTCAACACTGTTCCTAAAGATTTCTGGAATTAGAACTTTTATAATTATCTCTCAAAGTAATAATGTTACTATACCATCAGTCAAATAACAAGGACAAGCAAATTTTAATTAATAAAACAAAATAACCTATTGGGATACACAAAGAATAAAGATTAATCTTCCCTGTCTCATTTTACACAAAAAATTTTTAACATAACAATCAAAAATAAAATATATTCATGGAGAAATACTCAAGTGAGTTTAGATTTATTTTAAATAAAGACTTCAAAAGGGAGAGAGAATGTTGAAAAAAGTATTAAAAAGATTCTGAAAATAGCTTTTTTGGCATAAGCTAAAATGAAACACAGTTTAAATAGAAAAAGGAAAAAAAAACTCCAATTCTTTGCGAACTCTAAATTCAAGGGGAAAATGATGTTTGGCAGTTGTTTTTACATAGCTCTGAACAGTAGCACTACTTTGCTCTATTTGACACCTGAATCTCTTCACTACTGAGGGACAATGATGCAGCCCAAAATCCTCAACAGTAATACTGAGTTCAATCATTCATTAAACCAGTCAGTAATGACCACAATACCTACTTTTTAGTGCCCCTAAGAATGGCAACTTCATAATATTCAGAAGCTGTCAAATACTGATACAGTAATTTCTATTAAGAGAGAAACAATTTACACAGAAAGAAAAACAAGTTTGTATCATACCTTTGACCATCTAAAATTGAATTCCATTGGCTGCCTTAGATATATGTACTATTTTTATTTTGTGCCTAATTTCAAGACTTACGATGAGGACACTTGGGATGCAGTTCTGATCTAGGCTTACAAGAGAAAGTGGAGAACCTTATTTGGGAAGCGTCAAGGGAGATAGTAAAGGTTCTTGCTAGTGGGAGAGCTGCTTACCGAGAATCACTAAGAGAGGACTACTGACACACACCACGAGCCAAGCTGTACAGGTTAGACCTGATCTTTTGGTACAGTAGAAGGCAATACTAAATATTAAACACTGTTCTTCAACACAAGAAAGCAAAATCATTCACACTCAAGAGTGACTATCTTCAACCTTCAAAGAATTGGAGTTTCTCTCCAACTAACAGGCTGGAAATGTGTTCCTAAACCCACTCCAAAGGTTTCTCCAATTTATAGAGTTTGGATGTGTAAGAAAAGACATGACTAGGAAATTAAGCATGAAATGTTCACTGTCACAAAGATATTTATAGTTTCAAAGTTACTTTTGAGAACAGAAGTTGTTTTTGATATATAAAAATCATGAATTAAAATCTTAAGCTTTTATAAGAACAAATCCCAAAATTCTATAAACACATTGTAAAAAAAGTAATGAATTTCCACATTTACCTAAGAAGATACATTAAATGTCTAGGATTTTTCCTCTTTGTCCTGGGGATTGAACTAAACCATCTGCACTAAACTAAAATGCTCAATCCTTTAAAATTTTTTTTTTTTTTTTGTCTTTTTCCTTTTTATCGGTACCAGGAATCAAACTCACGACTGCCTGCTTGCCAAGCAGGCGCTTATGCCACTAAGCTAAATCCCCAGCACCTTATCCTTTAAAATTTTTAAAAATTTTATTTATTTTAAATTTTATTTTGTCTTACACTGCACTAGAACTTGTAAACCTCCTCCCACAGCTTCTTAGCATACTGGGATTACAGGTGTGCTACCACACAAGGTTTAAAGCTTTCTTTATTTTTCAGTTTTACTTTTAAGTTGCATCTCAGGATTGTTCAGGAATCTCATTCATACTGTATATGGTATAAATGATTACACAATCCCACAACAAATTTATTAATCTTACCACAGTATTTAACAGTTTTAATTCAAAATCATTTTGAAATTGGTATGTTCCCACATTCCACCATATATGAGGTCTATAAATAAAATAACAGCTTTGATAAAAGTGGCTGCTTATTAACTCAACTGTACTAAACTTCTCCTGGAAAGATTCAAAAAACAAAAATTTGGAAAACAGTGCCTGGTATTCAAATATCAAGTTATGCCTTTACACATTTTGTTCTTTTAGACCGGAAGGTGTTTTAAGATTATCCTTGAAAATCCTATTTAAAGTTTTCAATAAATGAATAAATGAGTGAATGAATGAATCAATCAACGCTTTCCTGACACTGCTAGGACTCAGAAAACAACATCCTAAAGCATGTTGCTTTGGCATGCAGAGCATTAAGGGTTTTAGAAACAAGTCTCCCACTCTCTCCTGACCTTTTTCTTACTTTCCCTTTCTCCACAAAGGTAGAGCAGAGCAAAGAGGATTCCTTTTCCTCATGGTGAGCCATAACAAATAGAACCCCTTACCCAAAAAACAAACCATAAATCTAGAAATATTAATTCTAACCTAAACCCTGCTTTTCTATAAGTGGCTACAAAGAAATTCTCTCTGACCTATCTTTATCTTGTCTGTTAGATCTTAAGAACTCAGTTCCGAATGAGGTGCTCTATAGAGCAAAAGAAGGGATCCCACTCTATATGCGGGGCATGGGAAGTGGGGTGGGGGGAGATACTACCCTGAGAACCAGATGAATCTGTCAGGTATTGCTGGGTTTCCATACCATCTAACGTTAGGTCATACTATTTTGTCCAATCAGATTCTACACGCTGCCCATTTTTCATTACGCTTAAAGCTCAGCTTAATAATTTCGTTTCTGGGGACGTTTGAGTTTTCATTTCTGAAGATTCCCAGATCACAAAATTTTAATCACATTTATTATGCTTTTCTTTTGTTACTGTTTTTTCTTATAGGGATGTCAGCCGTGATACTTAAGATGGTTGGGGAAAGTTGTCACACTTTTCTATCCTACGAAATCTACCTTAAGATACCATAGAAAACACACACAATAAGAAAAACACATACAGCTTCTTTAAATACCACCAGATTCCATGAACGCAAACTACTTCAAATTTAATATTACATTGAAAGTTCATACTTTGAACAGCATTTTCACAACCATATCAACTGAGTATGTTGACAATTAAAACTTGCTGAGCATATAGGTCAGTGGTAGAACACTTATCTAGCATGTCCTAACCCTGGCTTCAATCCCCAGCACCACAAAGCAAAATAAAAGTTACACAACAAATCGGTATTTTAACCTCCACCATACGCAACATGAATTTTAAAAAATGTTATCTCTCACTTGGTATGGTGGTGCACACCTATAATCCCATGGGAGGCTGAGGGAAGATGATCATAAATTTTAGCCTGGCACAGGCAACTTAGCAAACCTGGCCTCAAAATTTTACAAAAATTAATAAAGAGGGTGTAAGGATTTAGCTCGGTAATAAAGCACATGCACAAGCCCTTGGTACTGCAAACAACGTAAAGCAAAACAAAACAATAACAACAACAACAACAAGAAGCACAGGATTTTTACTCTAAGTTAACAAATCTGCAAATTTACTATGTTAAAATTTTATTACTTATAAGCTTCATCTTTTTCATCTTTGGGAGGTGCTGGGCTAGGGAATGAACCAAAGGCCTTGCACATGCTGAATTCACATTCTACTAATAAGCCACAACTCTGGCTTCATCTTTTCTATAGTTTTATTATTTTAAAAAAAACTTCCTGGTGATAGTTTTAATGATAGCAATTATTTTCAAATGCTAGATAATCTAAAAAGATTTATCTGCAAATTTAAGGTGTAAGATCTGAATGGGATGAAGATGATATTTTAACTTCTATCTTTGGCTTGCAGGACCTTGAATTCAAATCTCACTGGAATTAATTTCTGCTTCTAGATTAGTTTTCATTTATCATTAATAATTGCCTCCTTTGAGATATAATTGAGAAAAAAAGCAAAGAAAAAATGTCTTAAACTCCAATATTATGTTGCTCTTCTTAGTCAAATGGGTATTACTACCCCTCATTACAATATCTATGTTCTACTTTAGTGAAAATAACTCGAGTTACTTCCTTACATGGTTTTTTGATGAAACAGATGCAATCATAAGACACATAAAAAAGCTTCTTACAAAGCAAACTGATCTTTGAAGATTACATTGAACTTTATTAGCATGGTGTACCAATGGACAAATCGAATTCTGCCAAATTCCACTGATCAATTATAAAGCAATGCTCTTACTTAGTTTACAGTGGAAACAGCTACACAGAATATAAAGTGCTCTATGATTACATCTAGCTATCCAAGAAAAGAACAATTTCTTGAAATCTTTGCTCCCTATTTTTTTGTATCTTTTGGACTCTACAGATAGTTTTTTTTAAAAAAAAATCTTTAAGAATGCAATTCTTATGAGTCATACAGGAGAATCTGTGTTAGAAAGGAAAAATGGCCACAATCTTTCCATCTGTAACAAATGCCTTTACAACCCATGCTCTCTGGTATTTATCTGAGAAAAATGCCATCAAGAAACCTGAAACACCATCCAAGTGGAACTTTCCCTCTTCTGAGTTTTGGTAGTCTTCTTTTGGATTGCCCAATAGAAACAATTTCCTCAGTCTCATGACTCTGAGAAAGATTTCCAAAATTAGTCTACCCAAGTAAATAATCTGTACTATCTTTTTGCTACTGTTCAATTTATTAATTTCTTTATAACATTAAAAATGTTAAACTATACACATAAAAATTAAGACACACTTTGACACTGACAGGATGTACAGTTGAGACACTTCAAATATGGAGTAAAAAGACCTCCACACTGTCAAACTGAATACTAAAAACTCTGGGAGGAGTGGAAAGGGAGGAGACAGTGCAGATTCTATAGGACGAGTAATGTTAAGTGTCTTGGTAGAAAGATGACTCAAAGTTATACTCTGGCTAATCTTCAGTGAAGACAGGATCTTGGAATACAAGTTTCTTGCTTTCCTAATGTATTTTTTTTCCCAAATGCTAAAACATCACATAAGAGCCTACCTGACATTTTGGAGAATTTGCTGTGCTGGGATTGATATTCCGCATTGCCTAAGAGTAAAAAATAAGATGGATAAAAATTACTTTAAGCCACATGGTTTGGCTATGTAGGCTGAGTTACAAATTGTATCCAGACATATCACCATAGCACAGAATTCCCAAGCTACCCAAGAAGCAGCAGACTGAGGAAGACAAAAGCCAATGGAGTCACCATGTAACAAAACTGAAACCTCAGCAGTGAGGATAGGACAGCATAGAACTAAAAATTTGGTAACAGTCAGGTAGGTTCTTTGCATCTAAGTATTAGATGAAATAAGTAACATTTTGATGTCTCACTGATAAGAAATACTGTCAAGGGGAGAAGTTCAGAGGAAGCCAAACAATTTAAGGTGTACTGAAATTACATTGACTGCTAAAACAAAAACAAAAGCAAAAATTCTTAAAACTAGATGATTAGTATGAAATAGAGCAGACCTGTCACTTCAATATAAAAGACAACACAATAGGCAATAAAGAAGAAACAAAGAGGTTACCTTTAAAGAAAGTGAAGCTATTCTGTCCAGGACCCATCACCCAGAGTAAGAATGAGAATAAGATTTAGAAAAATTCTTTAGAATGAAGAGTTTTACAAGTAGCAGCATTTTGCCCACCAAAAACAAACAAATGAAAACTAAACAAGCTGATCCATGGTATAGAACAAATTTTAAATCACTTTAAAAACATCAAGACCTTAATGTTGCCAATTAAATAACTTTTCTTCTTAAGGTTTCTTGATTTGGGTAGTTTTGAAATTGAGTCCTGAATTTTCTTAAATCAACTTAGTCACAACAAAATGAAAGGCAAACAATGAAAACAGGTCTGTATAAACATATTTTTAAATGCTTTATTTTTTTCTAGTAGCCACATAACTAAATTACTGATGGTGCTTTCTTATTCTGACAATAGTTTTATCTAAGTAAAAAATACCTTTCCTCTTCATTTGTTAGAAAGTCAGTCAGATGTACAATAAACTGTAATAACTATGCTGCCACTTTCCATCTTCTTTATTCAGATGAAGAACCCTCTCTTTCATGTATCCTGGCATCACAGGCTAACACACATCTCCTCCACCAGAGCTGACATCACCCACACTAGAATTACACTGACAGTGCACAAACAATTTGAAGGTGAGCCTGTTTGAGATTCCATGAATGTATTTAATGTTCATATTCCAAATCAGAGTTAAAAGACATTAATGATTTTGTGTACATTCAAATGACACTTTTAAAAAGTCTTAAAAAATGCATCAAATGTAGAGTACAACTGATTTTTATGTTTTGTTTTATTTTTTTTTGTCTTTTTGGAGAGGGTCTCACTATGCAGTTCAGCATGGCCTTGAGCTCACTTTGTAGCCCAAGCTGGTCTCAAACTTGCAACGATCCTCCTGCCTCAGCCTCTTAAGTGCTAGGATTATAGGCTTATGCCACCACGCCCGGCACAATTTTTAAATGTCTATATTCACTATATTAAGATTCAATGGGGTAAATAGTATAGATGCACATTATTTTTGTCTGTCCACAATATTTCTAGGGAGGAAAAATGAGGTAAATAGGAAAAAGGACATCTTATTTTCTTCCAGTATACTTTGACTACTGTTTGTTTCTATTATCTATTCAAATGTTTTTATATAAAAATTGAGAAGTATGTAAGATCACATCCTTAATGTCTGAACATTATCTTAAATATTCTGAAACAAGATAAAACAAAAATGTTTAGATGACAGATCATCTATTTTTATTTAACATAACGACTAATGAACAGTACTTTCTAAAAGAAAAGGTCTTTACTGACTCTTAAGATACTCCCCTTGCCTGTAAGAATAAATACTTATAAGGAAGTAACGCTGCTCACCATGCTAACCATGCTGGGGTCTGAACTCAGGACCTTGCACAAGTCATGCAGGTAATTTCAAGATGGCATCACTTAAATTTGGGTATAACTCATATTATTTGGGTATAACTCATATTTTGAGAATTAAGATTCAGCAATACTAAAACATATTTGCTACTGAAGAAAAATCATACTGGTAGATCCGTCCCATACACAAATAGTATTTAAAGGTGTTTTTCCCCCAAATGATGCTTTAGAATATCCCCACTAGCAAGATACTCAGAAACATACGATTTCACGTACATTTGAAGCAGCATTCTTGCTTCCTTCAATTGTGTTCAACTGCCATGACCTTGAGTAAAACAGCTCTTTAACCTATGGATTTTATAAGCGATAGCCCACATGATCAATAGCCAATCAATCAGACAGAATGCTTGTGTCACTCTACTTTCAGAAAAACAACAGTCCTCTTTAACTAATAAGTGCTAAAAGAAATTTATGCAACTAGACAAAGGAAAATAAACCCCCAAAAGTAGAAGGCTGGTTTCTAACCTGTGGCCTCACCTGCCGAAGCAGCTCTTGCTGTTTCAACCGAAGTCTTTCCTTCTCCATCTGCAGTTGTTGGAGACGCATCTGCTGTTGTTGGTTGGAGTTGCTACTACCCATAACACCTCCCTGTGGGCTCTGGGGGGCTAAGGGGGGTGGCTGTTTTACTGGAGCACTTTGACTGATTCTCTGGTTCATGGCTGAAATGAAACAAAGAGTCATCTTTAAAATCTAGTTAAAAAGAGGGATGATTTAGTTATTAGGAAGCATGTTTCATGCAGGTTTTTGATAATATGACTAAATATAACCTAAAAAATCCACCATCAGTATGATGGTTACTTAACTTCTTGTCATCACTGTTAGAGGATGAAAAGCAGTAATAAAAGGAAAAGCTACAAGAAGTATGAAGTGAATAAATATCAAGAAAACTAATACCAATTGGCTTTGAAGGAAGGTGGGAAACCGAGTGACAGAAAGACTGAGTTCAAAACAGATGTTCCTAACTTTTGAGGTGTGAATTATGTAAACAGAGTGGTACGTCAGTACTTATTGATTCTACAAGGTGCTAAAACCAAAAAACCATGACTATCAAATTATTTTGACTGGAAGGGATATACAGTCATGAGGCAATTGACAGCAATAAGGTCTAGCTTCTACCAGGATAAGATTTTCATGTCAAACACATCAAGTACCAATTAAGAGTTTCAAAGCAACTGAAAAGAAGGTAATGACAGTACATTATTTTTTTTCAAATTACATACATGACTTCATCTCCAAAAACAACTGCAGATATATTCTGACTTTCTAACAAATGTGCAGGAAAGGTATTTTTTTCCTTGGATAAAACTATTGTCAGAATAAGATAGCACGATCAATAATTTAGTTATGTGGTTACTAGAAAGAATATATAAAATATTGAGTAGGAAAACTCATTAAAACAACCCTTAGTACTCCATCTTAGTATTACTTTAATACAGCAAGAATTATAATACAACTTAATTAAAATGATCTGATGTATGTCTATATCGAATGAGTCCACAAGCATCTGATACTTGTCTCATTCAACACTACTACATACAACATACAGTCTGGGTAGTCAGTTCTTTTTATTTGAACATATAATATACTATCTTCATACGAGAAATGGAGTAATTTTTATACTACTGATCTTTGACCACTGATACAATTTAAGAATCTCACATCAGACACATTCACCATTTTAAGTTGAAAATTCTGGTCACCATTTCTCCTAAAATTTTCAAACAATACACACTGACATACTGCGTATTTTTTAAAAAAAACCTAGGCTCAAAAATGTCTTCACATAAATTTAAGGAAGAAATAGCATCAATCTTGCAATACTAAAGTACAACAAAGAAGAAATACTCCCAACACTTAGGAAGCCAGACTAAACTTCGTAATTTACACAAGGACATCTCTCTCATAAACCTTGTTAAGTAGTACTATATTGACAGTATTTTAAATTACTGGCAATCCTTGTGATTTTTTACATTTCTCCTTTGTAAAAATGGTGGCTGCTTCCTGATGGCTACAACTTACTGAGCAAACATATAAGTCTTTCCTAATCAATGTTAACCACCTCCTTGGGCTGAAAACACCACCCAGCGATACAGTGTGCCTAGTAAGCACAAGGCACAAGCACCTTAAAACAGCAAGAAAGGATTCTTCTTGCCTTAGAGCACTGCCTCAAAATATTTCTTCTTTGTCTGCTGAATTTCTTAGATTGTAACCTTAGACACACAGACAATACCTTACTGATTTATAAATCCTCAGTGCCTAGCACCATGTCTGATAAGAACTGTTCTGAAAAACACTTCACTGTTTTTATTTTGAATATTCACTCAGGCAGAAAATTAAGACCAATACATCCAATCCTGGCCCACAGACTGCAAGCAGCCTTGGACAGCTGATAATATGATTCTTTCTACAAGACGATATACTTTTTAACATCATTAAATGATTTCTCATGGTATTTTTCACAATTTGAATGCATGGTGCTCAAGCAAAGACCAAACAGGTAACCATGGAATGCTTGCAGGGGAAGGAGGGTACAGGGCAATGCTAACTCTGCCTCCCACAGATGAAACCAGCATTATTCCAACATGTCATGTGCTTGCATTTAACTTTTGTCACCATATCTAATATAGCCACTAGTGGTAATCTGGTGTTGGTTGGTTTAAAAAAAAAAAAAAGAGAGAGAGAGAGAGAGACCTATATTACTGGGAACTTACATTTGGTGAAGTATCAGTCCATCTACCTCAAGAAAATTTAAGCACAAAAGATTTAAAAAATTATCTTCTGAGGTGTGAATTACACAAGGCTCAAGGAGTGGAATCATTGTCAATTTAGCAGTTCCTTAAAAGTATGGCTAAAATGTTGAAAAGATTTTATAATTTGTGAAATAAAAATCAACGTACTTATCCAGTTAGAAGAAAAATTTGTGTCAGAACTTTAAAATGAAAAACAGCTCACAGATTAATCATTTTTGTGGTTTGATTCATTTAAATAAGTTAAATATACATCTTCAAGGTTAAAATCAACATACCTGTTCTGTTTCATACCATAACAATGCTAGAAATGAAACAAGTTAGGATGATTTCAAAATACGGCAAGTATTTTATGTATTTTGGTACACTGGCTAACCACAATTCTGTAAATACAAAAAAAAAAAAAAAAAAAAAAAACCCACAAAAAACAGCTTTGTCTTCCACTGTAATACAGGAATCTGAAAATAGGTTTCAATACTTCCCCCCAAAATCATTAATTCTTGGTATATATGCAACTCCAACTCCATTTTATTTGACAAAAATACAGTCCTTGCAGATTTTCAAATGGGATGGCAATCAGACAAATGCTTTTTGGCAGTTGTTTGTGAACAACTACTTTCAAGGAAGACACACATGAAGAATAAAATTATAGACACAATTTCTGAAGAGCGACTTGAAAACTAAAAATCACAACATCTACAGAACTAGACATTGACATATTAACTTCACAAAAACAAGGTAAACAAAAAACCCCACTAGATTTATATTTATTTTCTTCTAAAAACGCTGATAAAAAATAAAGGATTTTTGTGATCAGCATGTATTAACTCTGTATTAACTCTATGCAGCCCTAGACAATTTCTCTTCACTCAGGGGATCTCAGACAAGCCAAAATACTGAACATGGGCTTTATGATAATACAAATAGGTAGGTATCCTATTTCTCTTTAGATTGCCCAACTCAGCCGAGAGTGGTGGCACATGCCCGTAATTCTCGCACTTGGGAGGCAGAGGCAAGAGGATCACAGTGAATTTGAGGCCAGCCTGGGATACATAGTAAGTTCAAGGTCAGTCTGAACTGCACAGCAAGACTCTGTCTCAAAAACAAAAAAACAGAAACAAAACCAAAGACAGACTGTCCAACTCTTCTATGAGGTCAGCATAACACTGAGACAAAACCATTAAGAAAGAAAAATTACAAATCTCTGTCAGAAGGCCTTAGTTTAATTCAACCCAATCTACTCATTAAGATAAAATGATGGAATTATCAAGCACCTCCTTTTTGTTCTTAGCTTTTCCCCTTCTGGTTTTCTTTAAATTTCTTTTTCTGACTTTTAGGTTGAACTGACTTAGTTTAAATCCCACCAGGGAGGATTTAAATCATGTTTACCTTTAAACCTTGCTTTACCAACACACGACATATTCTGAAATATTGTAATTCATGAATGTCCTATTCCAAAATTGATATTAAACAGTACCAATTTTGCTTTATTTTTATTCTCATTCACTTTTTCCTCCAATTGCTTGCAAATTATTTTCCAATATTATAGCCTTTTGCCCATAATTTCAATGTATCCTACAAAACCATTACAGTATCTTTATTGTCAGTATTTGCCAATTCATTAATATCAAATGTCCACCCCGTTTATAATTCTATTATTAATGGAATTACTTTTTACTGTGGTTTAACACAAAATCCAAACAAGGCCCCTAAAATGTATTTGATTCAAGATCTAAGTCTCTTCAGAGGATACTATAATATCACAATGGGGGCTGGGTATTCAGCTCAGTGGCATGGCGCCTGGTTGTAAGTTTGTGAGTTTGATCCCCATACTGATTTAAAACAAAGCAAACAAACAAACAAAAAAATCACACCAACAAAATAAAAGACCTATTCAAAAAGGGTAACTGGAATGAATAGATACACTTGTACAAATGGTCAATAAACACATGTTCAACATCTCTAGTCATTAGAGAAATACAAATTAAGGCAACACAAGAAAGGTTATCATGAAGCAATCAAAGAACAAATACTGACAAATACTGTCCCTATAATGTCTCAAGTAGTTGGGTGGGACTTCTTCACAGGTGGCTCAATCTGATCATGGTACAATGCTAAGATTAAAAGGTGCTAGGATTATAGAGGGATGATTACTAAATCAGTCCCCTGACTGGATTGGCATTCCGTTTGTGGGGGAAAATTTTCCTTTTACACTGTCAGCAGGAATGTAAAACTAGACCAACCACTATGGAAATCAGTACGGAAGTCCCTCAAAAAACTAAAATCCGAAAGTCTTAAATTCAGGTATTCTGCTTCTAGGTATCTTTCAGAGTTAAAGAAACCATACTACATCGATACATGTATACTCATATTTATAATAGTACAACTCATAATATGTAAATCACGGAAGTGTTCTCTATGCCCATCGCAGAAGAATGGGTCAAGAAAATGTAGCATTTAGACACAATGGAGTACCACTTTGTCATTAAGGAGGATCAAATGAGTCATTTGCAGGAAAATATATGCACCTTAGGAACACAATCCGAAGTGAAATAAATGACACAAAAGCCTAGATATTGCATGGTTTCTCTTACATGAAAAATCTAAAACACAAAGAACAAAATAAAAGACAACAGGAAATAGGCACATAGATCTTTTGCAAAAGGGAAGATAAAGAGATGGGAAGGGAGAGGAAGAGAAGGGAAGAAGGTGAAAAAAAGTTTAAGATGTCTTATATACATGTAACAAATCTCCATGAGGAATTTAGTCACTATATATTGCACACATGTACCAATAAAAGATGGTGTAAGTTAGTAGCATGTGGCAACTCTTTAGAAATGCAAAACTGTGGGCCCTACCCCAAGGTAAAGAAACTGAGGATGGAATCTATTAATCATGTGTTTGTGTGTGTG